TAACCTGATATTAAAATGCACAGGGGCACATTAGAAAGCGACGTGTTTAAAGACAGTATCAGAAAACAGGTCTGGTGGAATGGTTTATAAACCTCTAGAAAGAATTCACAGAAAATGGGGAAATTAATCTTTTATTCAGTTCAATTTGGAGGGGGCTGTGTCTAATAAAGTATCATGATTTATTTTTGTCCTTTAGGAACAAAGGTAAAATCAAAATGTTTCTCCTCACGTAGGGTTATTATTTGGAATTTTGTGGTTTAGGAATTATAAGACTGCCAAAACAAAAACACACATGGAAGTGGCGGCCTGCAGGGCAAAGGATCTGTTTGTTCACTGAGACTCCAGCTGGAATAATAATAAAGTAAGACAACATTTAGAACCGATTTAAAACTGACAGAAGTGGGGGCTGGAGAGATGGCTCAGCGGTTAAGAGTACTGACTGCTCTTGCAGAGGACCCAGGTTCGATTCCCAGCACCCACATGGGAGCTACAAACCGTCTTTAACTCTAGTTCCAGGGGAATCCGAAGCTGCCTTCTGGCCTCCGTGGCTTTGCACAACACAGGTGTACTCACATACATGCAGGATATACACTCAAACACATAAAATAAAAATAATAAAATATATTAAAAAAAAAAAAAACAAAAAAACCCTGACAGAAGGGCCTGGATGTCGCCAAAGTGATATCCGGAGGGAAACAGTGGTATTTTCTTCTTGAAAAGCTTTAAGAAGAGCACCGTTGCCTTCCTATTGGTTTCATGTTTGTTCCCCAAAGGCATGTGAACTTCAAACCCCCTAAGAAGATTCTGTGGTCCTGATGAGATTGTGTGTATTAGAGTTGTTTCTCCTGGAAGGGAGATGCTAAAGGGTACTTGAATGAAATATTAAAAGTTATGAAGGACGTAACAAAGGCCAATCAGTCCTTCCTTTTCCCCAGACCCCATAATATGAGAACGAGGGTTATTTGATGAAATTAAAGAGTAGCAAATTAAGTGCTAATAAAATGAGATAGTCACTTATATAATTCATTGGCATGGGAGGTCACAGAGGCAAATTTTGCAGCTGGATTAAATATAGGGCTGGGTAATTTTATGACCGTTAATGATATTTTTAGCAGTCGAGGCTGATACTGAGAGAGAAAAAATGTGATCCTGTTATATCCTCCATCAGATACTTCACAGGGACCTGTGGCAAGTGCTGTCAGAAGTGTGAGCCTCTGGGATTCTAGCCTGAGGTGGGAGGTGTGTTGAAAGTTAGTCTTTCAGGTGAATGCGTCTAGGCATCCATCTGAACTTTCTAACCAGAAGGTTAGAAGATCTCATGGCTTGGGGAACCCCTCTCCTTAGTTTCTGAATGCCACCCACACGTCATGTACTTTGCTTGGGATTTTAAAAACCTATTGGAGATACAATCCTGGGTAAAGGGGCTGGGCTGAAAGTAGACTGCAAAGTTGCTTGGAAGAATGGGGACAAGAAGGAATCATAACAACATGAGGTTTAAAGGAGGCTCCCAGGGAAGAGGTCTCTGGTCTCCTCCCTCTCCTCTTTTGCCTCCCTCTCGAGACAGGGTTTCTTGTAGCCCAGACTAGCCTTGAATTTGCTGTATTTTCTGAGGATAACCTTGAGCTTCTGAAACCTGTCTCCACCTCCCAAGTGCTAGTCACAGGCGTATGCCACCACACCCAGTTAATGCAGCTTCCTCAGTGCTTGACTCCTGAGTAGCAGAATTTACCAGCTGAGCTACATAAATCCCAGACTCTGAATTAAGTCTTAATGGCTTGCTGAGAATGAACTCTTCAGACAAGATAAGGAAGGACTTTGTAGGCAGAGGGAACAAAAAGATCACAAGATCCAGAGACAGAACATGAAATATCAAGTCAGGGAACTGCTAGCTGTTTAAACTCAGACTTAAACAGAGAGGGAAACGATGTTCAGGAATAAGTGGAGGGATGGCAAAATGGGGTTTGCTTGAGATCTGCCTGCAGCAAAACTTCCAGTGGGGTCCATCATGGGTGTGAGGCTTACAAGAGGGAGGAGCTCTGAGGAAAGACAGCCCAGGTGGCTGGCCTCCCTCCTTTGACCTCTGCTCATAGCTCTTGGCTGTGAACATGTGGTTTACACCACTCTTGACTTCTCTCATGCTTATTGTCAGCTAAGTAAACAGACTTTAAGTGCTTAATCACCAGAGAAGTGGTCAAAAAATAAGAATAAATAAGAGCTTCCCTATGTGTGGTGTGTGGGTGGAGCCAGCTTCCTCCAGGCTTTAAGCAAGGTTGTAGTATCTGTCTGGTCATATTCCTTAGGGCACTGCTTAGAAGCTACTCAGTCTTTAGGGAGAAAGAAGAGGCAGAGGTCTGCCTGGCCCAGGCTTCTGTCTTCTCCTGAGTTGACTCAGCACTGATGTAAGACAAAGTAATATTTTAAGGAGCAGGAGCAGATGGATTGAAATGTTAAAAATCTGTTTTATTAAATGATTTCAGTTAACAAAATAATTTAATCAGAAAAGAACAAAACACCCAAACTCTGTTCCTCCTTTAGTGATATTTAATAAGATCATCACTATAAATCATGCAGACTCAAACATGAAGTCTCTACAACATGAATATTGATACTTTTAAGAAGCAAAAAGAAATGGGGATGGAAATGTCTTTTTAAAGACTTCCTAGTTTTCCTGACAGTCTTGTCTTTGTAGTAGATGTAAATGTTTTATTATTGTGTTATTTTTTTAAAGAAATATTTATGTGTATGAGTGTATTGCCTTGTGTAGGTAAGTGCATCTATATTCTGCAGTGTCCAAGAAGGTCAAAAGAGGGCATCAGATCCCCTGGGACTGGAGTTACAGATGGTTGTGAACCTCCATGTGGGTGCTGGGAACTGAACCTGGGTCCTCTGCAAGAGCAGCCAGTGCTCTTAACCACTGAGCCATCTCTCCAGCCCCTGTTATTGTGTTCTTAATTAGTGTGGTTCTTAATCTTGATGGGATTAAGGAACACCTATGGGATTGTTGGGGCACACCTTTGGGATGTCTGTGAGGGCATCTCTGGAGGTGGCTGGAGCCCCAGGGCTCTGACCTGATGGATTAATTAATTCCCTTGTGGATTCATTATGTGATGGGTTTACTGACAGGTGATTAAAGGTGGGAAGTGGTTTAGAGGAAGTAGGCCCCTAGCAGCATGCCTTGGGGCTTTTATCTTGCCCCCTTTTCTTTCTTTTCTTTGGGGGTTGGTGAGACAGGGTCTCCCTAGAGCCCCACTTGGCTTGCTGTGTAAACTAGGGTGGCCTGGAACTTACCGTGTAAAACAGGCTGGCCTGGAACTCAGAGATCCATCTGCCTCTGCCTCCCAAGCGCTAGGACTAAAGGTATGTGGTATGCACTACCATGCCTGGCTCCTTTTCTATTTTTGTTTTCACTTGTTTATTATTTTTGTGTCAGTGTCTGTGGGCTTACAAGTGTCATGGTGCATACGTGTGGAGATCAGAGGACAACTGATGGAAGTCGCTTCTCTCTTTTCACCATGTAGGTTCTGGGGAGTGAACTCAGGTCATCAGGCTTGGCATCACATTATTGTCTGAGCCATCTCAGTGGCTTCTGGTCTTGATCTATGTTATACTTTTTACTGGTTGGCTGTGAAGTAAACACTTTTCTTCTGTCAAGGATTCCACTGCCATGATGTTCTGCCCAAACACATAGGCCAAGGGTCCATGGACTGACCCTGAACCAGAATAAGCCCTTTTTCCCTTAAGTGGTTTCTCTTAGGCATTTAGTCACATGAGTTTAACTGATTAATGCACAGTACAGACTTCCAGTCACACTAGAGAGCTGTGTGATTGCCAACATCTTTCCTAATGCTCATCTTTCCCCATAGTAGTCTTTTAAGACACTTCAAAAAAGTGAGGCTCCTGGGGGGACAGAGAAATGAGATTAGTTATAAAAGGCAAATGTATACACTCACAGTGAACTGTGAGGCTGCTAGTGACCAGGTATCCATGGGTGAGGCTGAGGTCCCTGTGCACCAGACACTGTGAACTTCCAGTGGTGAAACCATGACTCACCGTACACTCAGTACAAGAAACAGTTTCACATGACCGCTTGATAAATGCCACCTGACTTCTGTGGTAGAGGCACATCCAAATGTCACTTCTGACTAGGGCTGAATCCTCACCAAACTAACGAACTACTTTATAGTCAGCTGCAAACAGAGGCGGTGACGTGAGAGAGACCATTTTAGAGTGGCAGCAGCATGGATGGCCCTTGCAGTTGTCAGGAGGTGTTTTTTTTTTTTTTCTTTCCTGTTTTTGAACTTTTGTATCACTGTTGTTATTTCTAATACATTTTGAAAAATTCTGCTTTGATGGGCTGTATCCTCTTAGCCACTAGCAGATATTAATCTTGTCAGGAAGCGGGTAGTGATCAAGGATGCCTTTGAGCCCCACCACTAATTCACTTAAGTATTTATTAATCATTTGCTCTCCTGGACTAGACATTCACAAATAAGTCTTCGCTGTCAGAGGAGAGGCACGTGGGCTGGGGAAGGCCGTACCCCTGGCTGCGGCAGTCGTTTGTGCAATGAATCAATATAGGTTCTTCTGGTTTGAAATGCACTTGATTTTGCACAGAGTATGGCAGCGATGACAGGGCTTTCTTCAACAAGGTTACGTATTGTGTGAAAAAGCATGCTTTAAAATTTTACTATTGTTTTGTGTGTATATATGATGTGTGATTACCAGTACATGAGCCACAGTATGTATCTAGAGGTCAGAGGACAATGTTGTGGAGTCAGTTCTTTCCTTCTGCCTGTATGTAGGTCCAGGGGCTTGAGCTCAGGACATCAGACTTGCGCAGCAAGCTCTTTACCCACTGAGCCATCTTATATCCCCCAAGAAGCATACCTTCTAAAAGCACATTAATAATGAACGATGAATATGTCCTTTCAAGAACCCTTTGACTAGAAATGACAATAGGACACTTTAAGTTTCAAATGGTTGTTTTTTCTCCCCTTTAGACCTTAGCTGGATCTCCAAAGTACAAGTGAATCAACCTGCAGTTTTGAGGCGGGCACAACAGATCCAGGCTCGAAGGAGCGTGAAGAAGGAGTGGCAGGTAGGAGTTCTTCCTGAGCATCCATCCCTGGTCCTCACCCACACAGCCTCTTCCCTCAAGGCCGCAGTATTGAATTTCGTTCAAGATGCATCTGAACTTAAAAGATTGCAGCTGTCCATGACTTATTTTAATAATTCATATATGATGATGATGGGTTGGAGAAAGATAACACATTTATCCAAACAAGTTAAAAATCTTATCACTCTTGAGTGGCAAAACCGCAAATGAATTTGCAGCATCTTTATTCATGAGTGAATTAAATGGCACATTTTCCCAACACATTTATTCAGTTTCTTAGACATGCCTTCTTTGGTTGTTTTCTGTTTTAATTCCAAAGCCATAAACATCTACAACCGGTTGTTGAGGCCCTGAGATGTGGGAGTCGGCTTTTTGGGACCATCATGTTTACTGTATTATTTTCATAAATCATTTTTCAAAGTTTCAAACATGAGGTTTTGTAGCCTACTCGGAGTCAGCGTATTCTGTTGTATGTGCCGACCAGAGACGTGCTCTGTACAAGAAGGGCAGAGCATTGTGTTGGAGGCCGCTCCAGTGATGTTCCCCATTTTGCTCATCCTTAGAAATATTCTGCCTGAAAAAAATCAAAGGAAATTCATTAGAGTGAACTGTGAATAGGAGGATTGTTCTGATAATGGGATTGGGTTTTTTTTTTTTTTTTTTGGTCTTTTTGAGACAGGGTCTCCCTGTAGCCCCAGCTGTCCTGGAACTATGTAGACCCGGCTGGCCTTGAACTCACAGAGATCGGCCTGCCTCTGTCTCCTGAGTGCTGGGACTACAGGCTTGCACGACCATGCCCGGCAGGATTGGGTTTTTAAAAACTCAGCAAGGAACTCAGAGATTTTATTATTATTATTATTTATTTTATTTTATGTGTTTGAGTGTATTGCTTGCATGTATGTGAGTGCACCTGTGTTGTACAATGCAGTGGCGGTCAGAAGAGGGTGTCAGATTCTCCTGGAACTGGCGTTAAGGACAGTTTGTAGCCACCATGTGGGTGCTGGGAATCGAACACAGGTCCTCTGCAAGAGCAGTCAGTGCTCTTAACTGCTGAGCTATCTCTCCAGCCCCAGAACTCAGAGATTTCTAAGAATATGATCTCAGGGACTGGAGAGATGGCTCAGAGGTTAAGAGCACTGGCTGCTCTTACAGAAGACCCAGGTTCAAATCCCAGCACCCACAAGGCAGCTAACTGTCAGTAACTCTAGTTCCAGGAAATCTGACTCCCTCTTCTGTCCTCTGCAGACACCGCCTGACACAGGTGCACTTATACACATTCAGGCATAACTCTCATACACATTAAAATAAATAAATAAAATAAATAAATAAGCATTCTTAAAAAGAATGTAATCTCACCTTGGATCCTAGGGAACTGGGTAAAATTACAATGGAGCTTGTTCAGTTTTCCCATATCAAAAGTCATGGCCGGTCCTTCAGAGTTGAGTGGAAAAATCAGAAACGAGCAGGGCTTGTGTGGCAGAGCTGTCAGTTTGGGATTTCTGGGAAAAAAATAAGCCTTTTCTTTGTTTTGTTTTATTCTGGATAATGTTCATTTCGATGGTCATTCTTTTTAGAAATTTTTTTTGAAATGACTTTTTTTTTTTTTTTTTCTTTTTGAAGCAGGGTCTCCCTGTAGCCCCAGCTGTTCTGGAACTCACTATGTAGACCAGGCTGGCCTTGAACTCACAGAGATCTGCCTGCCTCTGCCTCCCAAGTGCTGGAACTACAGGCATGCACCACCACCCCTGGCTGAAATGACATTTTTAAATTGTGTGTGTGTGTGTGTGTGTGTACATGTATATCATGTCATGTTTGTAGAGGTCAGAGGACAGTTGCAAGAATTGGATCTCTCTTTCCACTGTGTAGGTCCCGAGACTTGAACTCAGACCTTCAGGCTTGGTGGCAAGTGCCTTCCTTCACTGAGCTGTGTTGTTGGCCTTTGTTGGTGATTGTCAGAACATGCGTTAGAGCAGCATTGACTCAGCTATTAGCACCTGTCTGTGTCTCATGCTTCTCTACTTACTAGCCAGATTCCAGATGCATCTAATTTTTGTTTCCCTTTCTTCCCTCCAGGCTGCGTGGCTGTTGAAAGCAGTTACCTTCATAGACCTTACGACACTTTCCGGCGATGATACATCTTCTAACATTCAGCGGCTCTGTTACAAAGCCAAATATCCAATCCGGGAAGACCTCTTAAAAGCTTTAAATATGCATGATAAAGGTGATGTTGTCTACACCGTATCCCATGTTAACCTGCTTGTAATAGTAATTTCTAGATCTCAGTACACTCGAAGTTCACCTGCTACTCCGCAGTGGTGATAAAGTCCATGCAAAACTCTGATCATGTGACAGATGCAGGCATATAATTGAGGTTCTTTGAAAAGCCGCAGGAATTTGCACCTTGTATTTAGGTTAGTTTTTATATCCATGGATTGAAGTTGCTGGTTGAGACTTCCTGTTTTTTTGATTTTCTCAGTTCTTTAGTTTTGGTTTTCTATCTAGTAACTGAAATACAGACTAATTCCCTAGCCACGTGCGAGGAAAAGCCAGTCTCATTACTTAATAATCACATCTCATGCATAGTTTTCTGTGAGCAAACGAAATGCTTTTGAGAATAAGATGCAGATGGGAAATATTGCATGCCTGAGTATTTGGTTAGAGCTTTAAAACAAGTCCTGTTCACTCCCTTAGTGGACATGAGAGAATCTTCATAAGGTTGTCATAAATTTCAAACTTTCACATTTTAGACATGAAGGAGATTTTGGGGAGTTGATTTCCCTATTAAAATTAATTAATGGATTAATTTGTATGAGTGTTTTGTATATGAGTGTACAAGTGTACCACATGCATGCAATGTCTGCAGAGGTCAGAAGAGGGTGTTAGGTCTCCCTTTTGGAACTGCAGTTATGGATGGTTGTTAACCACCATATGGGTGCTGAGAACTGAACCCAGGTCCTCTGGATGAGCAGTGAGTGCTCTTAACTACTGAACCATCTTCCCAGTCCTGATCTCCCCATTTTCTAAGTGAGGAAATGAAGGCCTGGAGAGCCAAGAGGTCTTTCCAAGGTGATACATCACTGTTGTTTGCTGGGCCAGTTTTGGGAGCTAGATCTCCTGTTGGTGAAGAGATGCTTGTAGCTCTGGAGCACCTGCTTGTGTGTGTGCAGTGGAAAGCCTGAACTAGCCCAGTGCAGACATCAGAGATCATCTGTGGGTGGCCTGTAAACCTAAACCAGTTTGCAGCTTCTGAAAGATGTTTATTAAACTTCTTTGCAATCAACAATAAAACATGAGGTTATTGGAGCTAGAGGCTTGGTAGTCAAGTACAGAGCGTACAGAGCACCCTGGCTTCAGTCCCCAGCACTATAAAACAAACAAAAACACCCATCTTATTTATAGCATTTGAAAATAACAACTATAGGGGCTGAGAGATGGCTGAGTGGTTAAGAGCACTGACTGCTCTTGCAGAGGACCCGGGTTTGATTCCCAGCACCCACATGACAGCTATGAACTGTTCTTAACTCCAGTTTCAGGGGAATCTCATACCCTCTTCTGACCTCTGCAACACTGCATGACACGGGTACACTTACATACATACATTCAGGTAATATGCTCGTACACATAAAATAAAAATTATAATTTTTTTTTAAAAAAAGAAAGAAAATAACTTTATATGTGGTCTTGTGATATTGCTTGGTTTTACAGGCTAATTTGGTTTGTTTTTGTTCTAGACACTTTGAATTTATTTACAAACAGAGTCTAACTGTGTAGCCCTGGCAGGCCTAGAATTCGCTACCTAGCCCAGGCTGGTCTTGAACTCATAAAGATCTACCTGCCTCTGCCTTTCAAGTCCTAGAATTAAAGGCATGCACCACCACACCCAGCCTTAATTTTAATTTTAAAAACCATTTATTCATTTTTAATTTTATGTGTATGAGTGTTTTGCCTACATTTATGTAAGTACACTGTGTTGTGCAGTGTTCTTGGAGGCCAGAAGAGGGCACTGGATCCCTTAGAACTGAAGTTACCATGTGGGTCCTGGAAAACAGAACCCAGGTCCTCTACAAGAGCAGCCAGTGCTCTTAATTGCTGAGCCTTCTCTCCAGCCCCTAGTCTATATAGTTTTAAATTTAAGAGCTTCTTAAAATGAGGGCTATAGGCTCAGATTTACTGTTTCTTACAAAAGAAGGAAGAAATTTAGCTAAACTTTATTTTGCTGTGTTGCTCTAAATTTCATTTACATTTTTTTTCATCCACTGTCCTGTTTGAATTCCACACAAACCTGGATTTTGTTATCTGTATAAAATAAAATATTTCATTGAGTCATGACAACTAAGTCTTTAGGAATTAAGAGGAAAATAGAACATTATGTTAGCCTGAAAGAACAGTGCATCAGAATTTTTCTGTGACTACAGTGATCAAAAAATGATCTATGTTTCCAAGAGCTAGAAGGAAGTGTGCAAAGTGAAAATCCTTTTCAGGGCTAGAGAGGTGACTCAGCAGGTAGAAGTGCTTGCTGCCAAGTCTGATCATGTGATGACCGGCGTTCCATCCCCAGAACTCATGTGATGGGAGAAAATCAACTATGCAAGATATCCCCTGACCAGCACATGCACACTGTAAAACATTTTCAAGAAACACAAAACCTTTTCATTTGTTGCAGCAATGTGGAGAAATTATTTTTTCCTCTTGTTTGATTTTTGCCAACATTATTATTTAAATAATAATTAGAGCCAGGTATGGTGGTGCAGGCCTTTAAACCCAGCACTGGGAGGCAGAGGCAGGCAGATCTTGTGAGATCAAGGCCAGCCTGGTCTACATAGTGAGTTTCAGGCCAGCTCGGCTACAGAAGACCTTGTCTCAAAAAGCCATAAATAAATAAATAAATAAATAAATAAATAAATAAATAAATAATTTTTTTAAAAATAAATAAATAAATAGAAATATCTTGTGTGAGCTGAATTTCTGTGACGTGGTCTGCTGTGGTTTCTCCCTTCAAAGGCATCACCACAGCAGCTGTCTGTGTTTATCCTGCCCGGGTGTGTGACGCTGTGAAAGCTTTGAAGGCTGCAGGGTGCAGCATCCCTGTGGCAGCAGGTAAGACTTTATTGTTGTTATTTTTCAAATAAATAAATAAATAGAAATATCTTGTGTGAGCTGAATTTCTGTGACGTGGTCTGCTGTGGTTTCTCCCTTCAAAGGCATCACCACAGCAGCTGTCTGTGTTTATCCTGCCCGGGTGTGTGACGCTGTGAAAGCTTTGAAGGCTGCAGGGTGCAGCATCCCTGTGGCAGCAGGTAAGACTTTATTGTTGTTATTTTTCAGGATGTCTGCAGTTGAGCTAAGTGACTATGGAGCGCACCGTCTATACTATGGTCAGATTAATTTCATATATTTCATTGTGTTGATTGATGATTTTAGTATTTTTTGATAATGTAGTAACAAGAGACATTAAGGTAGGTGTGGTGTCCCAGACTGTAATCCTAGTACTTTAGGAACTCAGGCAGGAGAATCGTGAGTTCAGGTTGGTCTGGGACACATAGTGAGACCATTTCTCAAACAAAACAAATCAGAAACCCCACAATGATATATTAAGTCCTAAAAATGCAGAACTGTACCCTAGTCTCAAATTTGACATCCACCACTGTGGTAACATGCCTGGTTTGGTGCTGGTTACGAAGTGTGGCATGTACATATTGCAGCACTTTTACGTCTGGTCTTCCTTGGAGCACCCTGTGAGCATTTCCCTAGAACTAGTACACTACTATAAGAAAAGTGAGACCCCCCCTACCCCCATGTTGTTCACATTTGTCATACATGAGTGATTTTTCTCTTTTGGTTTTGTTTTGGCCTTTTGAGACTGGGTCTCCCTGTCACTGGCCTGAAACTTACTATGTAGACCAGGATGGCCTTGATCTCACAGAGATCTGCCTGCCTTTGTTTCCTGAGTGCTGGGATCAAAGGTGTGCACCATTATGCCTGGAAGTATTTATTTATTATTTATTTTTATTTTATGTGTATGATTTTTTGCTACATGTATGTAAGGCCACCTGTGTGCATGCAGTGCCCACATAGGCCAGAAGAGAGTGTTTTTTTTTTTGGTCTTTTTGAGACAGCGTCTCCCTGTAGTCCCAGCTGTCCTGGAACTCACTATGTAGACTAGGCTGGCCTTGAACTCACAGAGATCCACCTGCCTCTGCCTCCAGAGTGCTGGGACTACAGGTGTGCGCCACCACGCCCGGCCTTTTTTTCTTTTTTTAAGGAAACATTTATTATTTTTATGTGTATGTGTGTAGGTAAGTGTACCTGTGTTGTGCAATGCCCGCAGAGGACAGAAAAGGCTGTTGGATCCCCTGGAACTGGAATTACGGACAGTTGTTAGCTGCCATGTGGGTGCTGCAAGAACTTCTGCAAGAACAGCCAGTGTTCTTAACCACTGAGCCATCTCTCCAGCCCCCAGAAGAGGGTGTTATATGCCTTAGAACTGGAGTTAAGGGTGTCTGTTAACCATGTAGATGCTGGGAACCAAATCTCAGTCCTCAGCCAGTGCTCCTATGCCATCTTTCCAGCCCTGTGAGCGATACTCTTAAGTGCCATTCATACATTTGTCCCTAAATGCTGCTTTACTTATGGACTAAACAATTGAAGTCTGTTTTCTTCCCTCCCTCTTTCTCTCTCTCCCCTAAATCTCTACTAGTGGCCACTGGTTTTCCAGCTGGACAGACTCATTTAAAAACACGTTTGGAAGAGATCAGACTGGCTGTGGAGGATGGAGCTACAGAAATCGATGTAGTAATCAACAGGACCTTGGTGCTGACTGGCCAGTGGGAAGGTGGGTGCAGGTCCTTGCCCCCAGGGGAGGCCCAGCACTTCTCCAAGGGATATGTGGGTGTATGGAAGGAGGGCCCCATGTCTTGGGAGTCACTGCTCTAGGTCAGGAGTCAAAGATGACAGGAAACATGGCTGAGAATCCCATCATGGTGTCCTTACCATGTAGACCATTGCTTCCCTACAGGGACATCTTAGTAAATACCTCTTTCTATGCAGTAAAGTCAATTCATTTTTTTTGATTAATTTATTTCTAGTTTATGTGTATGAGCATTCCGATGAAGTGAGGTGAGTATTGTTGGGATGTGATGCAGATTGAGCCACTACCTAAGGGCCTTTTGAACATAAGCACTGTGGCAGTGAGAGCAGATCTGAGAACTCAGATGGCTTAGGTGACTACTGGGCAGATTGCACATACTGTGTGGATACGCCAGGTAAATGTTGATCCACATCCCCAGCAGCTCAGAGGGGAACAGCATGAGATTTCATCATTGGTGCCATGTAAAACTTATGAGTTGTTTATTTGTGGAATTTTCCACTTAGTACTTTTGGATTACAAGGTGACCTCTGGTAAGTGAAACTGTGGAACGTGAAACCATGGCTGAGAGGGAGGACTAGTGTTTCATCCGGAGACACTTAGCCTGTAAAACCTCATCTCTTGTTCATCAGTTATGAACTGTTTTGTTCTGTTAGGACCTAAGGAAAATGCAGTTAGTAGTTTAGTCATTCAAGGATTTATTCTCTCACATGGAGGTCAGAGGAAGTATTTGTGGAGTACTGTGCCAGAGACCTCCACTAATTCCCTCTTCTGGTTTTAAGCATGTGTTGACCTTCATAGGCTGGGGCATCCATTGTCTAAGATGGAGGTAGAAGTGCTCCATTATCTGTAGGCTGGGCCTCACACATCCTCCTAGGCAGCAAGAAAGAGGAACTGGCCCCACCCAGGATCCAGACCTTGATGACTACATCCTGTTGGCCTGAACTAAGCCACATGCTGTATTAGTTACTTTTCTGTTGTGAGAAGACACCATGACCAAGGGAACTTGGCTTATGGTTACGAAGGGTAAGCGTCCCTAATGGCAGAGGAGGCGTGGCAGGAGAAGGTGGCTGATGCAGAAAGCTGAGGAATCACATCTTCAGGTAGGCACAGAAAGCTGAGAAACTAGAAATCTGGAATGGCTTAAGAACTGTCTAAGCCCACCTCCAGTTACTTGCTTCCTCTAGCAAGGCCGCACCTCCTAAAACCTCCTAAAACCTCCTAAAACAGTGCCACCAACTCAGGGTAAAATGTCTACATACTTGGAGCCTATGGGGATCATTCTCATTCAGTCTACCACTCATGAATACACAGGCACCGTCTCTGGCTGCAAGTGAAGCTGGAGAATGTGGATTTCTGTTGGAGAGTTAGCGTCATTCTAGTATAGCCTTCTGTTTCCTCCCCATCTCCTGTCTATACACATGGTTCACACATACTTTTTTCTTTCTCTCATTGTTGCACATACATGTTTTGAACATTCACAAGTCTTATTTAAAATATATCTTCTTATCCCTTTGTGTTCTGCTTATCTGCTTTCAGTCACAGATTTCAGCTAAGGTTTAAGATCAGAAGAAAAATAAGCATGCATAATATTTAAATTAAATCTGGAAATAAGCTATGTGTTGGTTGGATTAAAAAATGTGTGTCCTTTATGTCTTTATCAAGTAGGTGTAGGTATAGATGTGTAGTTTATATTATAAAGGATGCTCTTGTCTCTCAAATGCTGCTAATTGGAAAATAAAATCCAATAGGAGATGGGTTTTGATGTGATTGGCTATCCCTTAATGGACAAGGAATAGTTGTTTTCAAGAACTGATAATTTCTCAAAAGTAGGCATTCATGCAAAATATAATAGCATTTTTTGTCCTAGACTGTACTTTTCTATTAACTTTTTTATGGTGTTAATAACCTCTTGACCCAAAACAAATTGAAAAGAAACATTTAATGCTAGAAATGTATTTCTTAGAAGCCTGCAGTGACTTAGGACTGCCTCCCCCTGTGATATTTTGTCTTAATTTTGATTCTTAGTCTGACTAGGTATTGTGTTCTGCATTGTCCTGTTTTGTCCGCTGAATTAAGAGTCTAAATGCTAATTTTGTGGAATATGCTGATGGAAACGGCCATGGGACTGCTACATTCTCACGTATAGGGGCCCCTCCTCTGCAGGTTACTTTGTGTAATGTTGCTTTCCTCCTTGCTGCAACAAAATTCTTGACAAAAGCAAGTTAAGCCTAAAAGGGCTTTCCTCCTTGCTGCAACAAAATTCTTGACAAAAGCAAGTTAAGCCTAAAAGGGCTTTCCTCCTTGCTGCAACAAAATTCTTGACAAAAGCAAGTTAAGCCTAAAAGGGCTTATTTTGGCTTACAGTTTGAGGATACGGTTCATCATGACAGGGGCTTGAAGCAGCTGGTCACATTGTATCTACTGCCAAGATGTGGGGATAGATGAGAGCTGATGCTCAGCCTGCTTTGTCCCTTTACTCAGCCTGTGACCCCAGCCCAGGGATAATTCTACTCAGTCAGGGTAGATATTGTCTCCCCCCTTCATTTAACGCAGTCTAGAAATTCCTTCACAGATGTGCCCAGAGCTTTCTTTCTAAACAAATAGATGCTAAATCTCCTGATGATTCTAAATCCCAGCCAGTTGGTAATTCAGATTAGCTGTCACACTTTGCAAAGCACAGTAGTAGACCTAGCCATGTAGATGCCCCTGACCATTTCTCATGCCCAGGAGCTTACAGGTCCACCGTGGAAGTGGGCGCTCTGGGAGGAGACTGCAGATCTGGTTCCCATTGAGTGACCATTTCCTACTCTACTTCTGTCAAATGCCCGAGTCTTCCCCTCCTTGCAGCTCCTTTATGGTTAGCGGGTGGCCTGCCTTCCGCTTCTCAGAGGTAATGAACTCTGAGACGTGAGCTCATCGAGGCCTTGAGTCAGGCCTGCTTTCCTTGGCCCGGTGGCTCCGCTGTCCTGCATGTCCAGATGTCTTACTCGGTGCACTGGTCATCGTTGTCCTGTCTCCAGCCTCTCCCTGTCTGTTCATTCCCATCGTGTCTCTTACTGTTTATGACTACCCACAGGCCAACTCTTCTCTTCATCCACAGCTAAACCTCCCTTTCTCTCCTCTCCAAGTGACTGGAATTCTTTAAACAGCCTGTGTCTGTTTGGCAGTTCTGACAAGGTAATGTTGGCGTCTCCTTTCACATGCCGAGGGGATGCTCTTCAGTGTTGTTCATCAGTGTTTGACATAGTGGGCTGTCTTTTCCTCCTGAAAACACCGTCTTGTCCTGACTTTGTGATTCTTGAGATTTTCTTTCTGTTCCAGAGTCCTCCTTTGTGGTTGACAAGTTCCTGCACCTCCCCTGGCTCCCTCTAGTGTTCTGCCCAGCATGACTTCCCATACTTCCCATGCTGTGTACATCAATTTAGGAAGCCAAGTTCAGTTGCATTGACTTCCTTGGTGGCTCTCTGACCTCTGAGTGCCAGAATCCTGGTCTCCATGGTTCCAGACTCCTGTCTTTTTTCTCACTCAGCCATATCATCTTCATTGTTTTCATAGACCCAAACACTCAGAATGGGTGCATCCTCTTGAGATCAGAGATCCACCTGCCTCTGCCTCCCGGGCACTGAGATTAAAGACATACACTACCCCTGGCTTAAGCAGTTTTTTTTTTTTTTTTAAAAGAAAGATTTGCCAAAGGGGGCTTGTCAGTTCGTAAGCTCTATGCACAGATTTTGACAATGACTTGCTTGCTGTACTCTGTGGCAGAGGCACAGACATAGAGGCATGCTTGTCTGGCCTCTCTTTGCTATGCAAATGTTTTTAGATTTGGACCTTGCTCAGGTGTCTAGTTGCCCAGGACCAAAGTGGCTTCACTGGCTTTGGGAACTCACGTCCACACAGGACACTAGCAAACATGGCTCCTAGTGTGGTTCAGACACCCTGTGATGTGTTTCCAATACAGTGTGTTCAATGAAGCAGGTGTCTGTGTCCTGTGACCTCAGCCCCATGTTTTTTCTATCTCTTTCAGTTATCTTGTGTGACTTGCTAAGCTTAGTTTATAGAGTACACACTTCAGTTCTATCTGGAGTTTTAGAGTGAGAGAATGGAATTTCAGGGCCAGAGCCACTAAGTCTTTCATTTTCTTATGTGAAATTTAGAATTCTCAAATTTGATCAGTAATCTATTTTTTTGTTATTTACTCATTTTTGCACAAGAATGGCAGATTTCTGAAAGAACTTACTTTTGTTTCCTTTATAGAGCTGTTAATAATACCTCATCCAGAAAGCTATTTCTAAATCCATAGAAATTTTTTGGGGAATGAAATCACATAATCTATAATCTAGTTCCTTTGTTCTGAGAGTTGTTTATAACAGAGAAATTCTGGAGATAATGGCAGCGATATGCTTTTATGGGTTTTGTTTTTATGTTATGATTCTTCAAAACTTCAAATAGTATTGA